CTCTTCTTAAAATATGCAAAATGATTTCCATTTTCCTAAATTGCAAAAGCTTAACATGAATTGCTCATGCACTCAAAATTGATCATTGGTGATGTACAAAGCATGATGATTGGTAGTCCCACATTCATGTGCATGAAAACCAACCAAATTCAAAGATGAAAACGATGGGATTTTGGATTATCTCATGCAGAGTTCTCCTTTAAACTTCCCATGTGAAAATGATTGCTGGAATTGATGTCATGAAAAGCTGTCTATGATTAAGGGTGCTTTCTTTCTTCTTTTTTGTTTCTTTCTTGCTTCATCAGTATCATTTCCATACGCATTAAAAAAATGAAATTGCTTATGTATGAACCCTATGGCCATCAAAACTGCTTCGTACTTTTGAATTCCACCTTGCATTGCAAGAAAGAGGTTGATTTGAAGGATCTAAAACACCTCAGCAGAAGAAAAAAAAGGTACGATCCTGTTTTGTTACTAATCAGTACATTTTGCAACCAATCTCCCTGTTCACATTTGCACTGCACGCTATTGTTTTTCTCAAGTATTTCACTGAAACTCTAATATTTTTTTCTAGACATTCTTTTTGTCTAAGAAATTGATACATCCGTTGGTAATTTTTTATAAGACTATATTATAATTGAAACCAACAAAAAAAATCTTAGATCTGTCGTTGCTTAAAAGATAGGACCGAATATGTTTAGGGTTCAAATTTCAACATTGACGATCATGATTTATTTTTAGGCTGCGAATTACTTCAATTAAAAAAAAAGGTAAAGTTGCTGATAACTATAACTTTTTCAAGTTAATTTTAAACGAAAAGACTGCAAGATGTATCTGCAGCTAATCAGATCAGTCTTGTTTACTTTAAGGATTGGCTTTAGTTCTCCATCTTCATGTTACTTGGCGAGAGCAAAGCATACTATTTTCTAACTATATATGCTGATCAATGAAAAGGAATTAAGGATATGTAGCTTTCTTTAATTTAATGTATGTTATTCAACTTAATGAACATGATAACTTGAGAAGTTAACATGTTTTAATCATACAGATACAGGTTGGAATAAAACTTTGCATGAAGAAACGAACAAAGAAAAGTAAAAGATACTGCCGTAATTGGGTATAATTTCAAACCTATAGAAAAGGTAAATAATCATAATCACTAAGGACTATTATCAGAAATTCATGGCACTACTCAGAATTAGTGTGAGAAAAGGCTGAGATTGTAACAGATGACTCTAGCTGGCATGGAGATTGCAGAAGCTGGAAGTTGAGTACATGTTTGGCAATGGTGAGACTTCCTGTTCTGCCTCACTGATGTAAAAATGTGCCTATCAAAGTGAAAATAAAGAATGAATCCTTATAAAACCTGTCAAAACTGGGGATTTCGTGTGAGTGACTTGAGAAACATTAGTTTACTGTTTTCTTTTGCTGGCTCTGTATTGAAACTATTTTTGTAATTTTTTTTTCTTTCCTTTCATCTTTTGCCTAATTTTTGGCAGGTTGGTAGTCAGAACTATTCTGGAGCAGGTTTCCTGCTTGAATAAATCCATTAATTATCCAAAATAAATAAATAAATAAATAATCCTTATAAAATTCAAGGCTCCAATGATCAGAACAGAACCTAATCTTGATACAAGTTCAATCCGGTCGCCAGTATTGTAGCCTAATATGTATAGGTTTGGTCATTTGAATTTGGTGGAGCGGGGAGGGGAGGATTGGTGAACATTTTTTTTTTCATTTACAAGATTACAAGCATTAAAAATCAAATTATTTTTGTGATTGATATAGTATTTCTTAAAACAGGAAGAGCTATGAAATTTCTCCAAACTACTAGAGAAAAACACCGCGGAAAAACAGAAACTCAAAACATGACAGAACACGGAAAGTTGTACATGGGGACTTTCTCTGATTGTGACAAGTGATACTGAGGGAATATATTAAAGGAAAGGTGATGTATTCCAATGTCACTGAATGTATCTTTATGTAACAGATTAAAGTTGGCGTGGGGGGGGGGGGGGAGGGTGTTCTCCCCTGTTACCACTCTCCTTTTCTTTATTTCACTCTGTTCTATAGATTCTTTTAACATCTGATAATGTCAGGAGAAAAACAACCTAATCTTCCCTTGTACTATACAATTCATTAGCAGATCTTGGTTTAACAGACATCAGATAATAGGACAAGTAATAATTTTTTTTTTATTAATAATAGTACTATACAATCCATAGCTGTTTTTGTTTTGTTAGGAAACATGTCGTGGTTTTATCTCTAAATCTTTGTTGTTTTTGAGATGCAAATCTTGATCACTGCCTGGTTTTTGTACTTAAACTACTTATTTTATGCTCATCTCGAACATGTGCACAAATGTTTAATGTGACAGTTAGGTGCAATGTTCCAAAAGGATGCCTTTCGCATCGCATCTCAGTTAGTTATTAACGGATTAGATTCCCCAAAAGAAATAATTGAAGTCCAGATTAATGTAAGACAGAAGATCTTCCTGTTCTGTACGTTGTTGCTCTTGCAACAAACAGATAACAACATTAAATTATTAGTTTTTACTTGCTTTTGAAGCTTTCCAGGCTAGTTTAAGTGGTTTAACACCGTATCAAATGACAAAAGACATGGCACATTGGATCCAGCTGACTTTAATTACAGAGATATAAAGATGTTGAATTGCTCAAATATGCAAGGCAGTGGCTAGCTACCATATATAATTCTGGGAAATACTAGATTTGCCTGTTCTGAAAAGGACTAGTCGTTAATGGGATTCCAGGGATCCCTAATTCCTTGTATATTTATCATCGAGTGATAAATTATCTACAAATTTCTTAACGATTCTTTGGGTTTGGTGAATAGGTGCTTGTAGAAAAGCTTGTTGACTTGAAAATTGGAATAACCAGTAATAAAGAGAACAATGGAATTGGGATTTCCTGATATAGTCCGAGTTCCCACGCTTAAATCAGTAAAATGTAATGGGTAAAGGAAGGTAAAGAGAAGGTTGAGAGGGAGAAGGTAAGGAAACATGTAAGAGCAAGTAAAATAAAAGTAAAAAGTTTAGAATGAGATACATGTATTCCGCCCTTACCATTAACAATGAGTTTGTAATGATATGATCAGTTGACTTACTTGATTGGCTTAATTGGTACTGACTTGATTGAGGAGTGGCCAGAGTACAGTAATTGTCAGGGTTACCAAGCTAATGGTCAATGATTGCTGACCTCAAGGTATTGATCAGACAACCGAAACTATAACAAAATTAAAGAACAATATAATCCCAACTCCTTCGACACCTTTAAAGAAATTATACAAAAACATGGTTGCCCATATTCATCAATAGCAAAGTAAACTACCAAGTCTCATTCGGGTACAATTTCAAAGGTTCAAGTTGTTATCTCTCCCTGTAGATTTTTAGGGCAAGTTACAAGCATGGTGACAACTACTGGCAGTTAGACACAGACTACTTCAGAAAGTATTTGTCCGAGTCTGTCAGGAAAATGACCCCTTGTTTTTTTCAAAGCACGAGGTTTTACCTTCATTTTCTATGATAATTACCGGTCAATCTGCTGCTTTTTCCACGATAAGTCTACAAAACTCTATTCCATTATTGGTTTGCTTTTCCTTTTCAATACTTTTGTTGATAGAGTTTGATGCTGATTTTGTTCTCGCTATACCAAAGTAGTTTTTGTTATTTAGGTAAGTCAATATCGCAATCATTTTCTGGTATAGTCTATCCATTTTTTGCCCAAACTCCACAACAACTCCATATTATAAAATATTGATTCCCGATATTCACTACAATAAGAGCTTTCCAAGCTTAATTGAGACTTATTTTGGCTTCAAGCAAAAAAGCCTGAGGCAAAGTTGCGACCAAACTATGCATTGCTAACACGGTAGAAAAAGACTAATAAGATGAATTCAAAGTTTAATTTAATTGATTCAAATAATTGTCTAATTTATCATCTGATTGGAGATTCAAATTTGAGTATATACAACTCCTTCCCTATTCGATGATATCATCTTTTGTTAAAAAAAAAATTTTAATTAGATATTCTAATGCTTCTTTCATTAGTAAGTTAGTGTAATTTTCAAAGCTTTTTTTTTTTTTGTCCAATATGGCCAAATAAGTGCTTCCAAGTTATGTGAAGCACAAAGATTTCCTAGAGAAATGACATTTGCATCACAACAAAAACCAGAAAATGTTCAAAGAGATTAATTCTTAAAGACCTGAGCCAGTACAGGTTTGAATGCAAATTAATAAATTCTAGTTCCAACTATTGGTAAGAGGCTTATTATATTATTCCTTGGAGTGGTAATTTTGGCGGATATTAAGCCACAATAGCCGTTCTCGAGTTGCTTATACTGTTTTTTAAGATTTACAGGTGTTAAACCTACCATAGATCCCATCCGTAAGTTGCTTTACCACTCTGGGGTTTATGCGAAAATGGCCCCATTTGCACTTTTAAATGGTGAAAGAAGTGCCAAAATTTCAAAATATGTAAGCGGGTCTTGTGGGATAAAAGCCTTGAGATTTGCCTGCTACCAAAATCCAAGAAATTCCCTGCATGGCCTAAGATTCCAAGCCTTGTTTAGTTATGAAGCAAATGAAAGAAAATTACTGAGCTGATTAATTTTATGCAGCAGAGAAACACTGTTGGACCATTCAATTAACTCTTTAGCTTAAATTTGCAGTTAAGCATAGTTTTCTTTGGTATTAATATTATTTTGAAGGGGGTGTTTTCTTTGGTTCTAAGCATAGTTTTGAACAGAGTGAACTTCTGCCAGTTCTGGTAATTTATTTTAAGAAACAAGGTCACATTTTTTAAGTTCACGTCCTTATCAAATTCTAAATCCATAGAAAAGGGAAAAGACGAGTATTGCAAAACTGCAAAGTAGATGGCAATGCTTTAAATAACTCAAAGTCAAGTGGCAAATTGGTAATCAAGACCCTTTATAACTCCAGTTGAACATGGTTCCAGGATTCCCATATACCAAAAAAAATTAAAATGGTTGCCCCCTCCTACCTAAAAACCTTGCACCCTCTTCAAGCCTTCTCTTTTAAATCACCATCTTCTACCTTAAGCTCCATGAAGATCAAAACTGTAATTCACAACCTCATCTATGCTCAAGTTTGTCGTCTCATTCGAGCATTTTCCAAAGCAAAATCCATTGTCATTCAAGTTTATAAAGAAAACAAGCCCATACAATATTTCATTTCCAACTCCAAGAATACAAAAAAGAATTACAAGCATAAGAAGCTATTCTTTGGTTCATTTAGGCTACACTATAATTGGTGCTCTTCTCATGTTACACCAGTTCCAGCTCCAGTTCTGGAAGGGTGTACTGCAACTCATTTGTACTATGATTCAACCTGGAATTCAGTTATTTCAACTGAGCAATATGATAAGGATACTGTGGAGGCTGAGCTTTCAGCTTACCTTGAATGGCTAGAAGAAAGGAAGGTTAATGGCAATTCTACTGCTGAGACAGATATAAATGAGATTGATAGGCTAGCAGAAATGTTTATAGCCAATTGCCATGAAAAGTTTAGGTTGGAGAAGCAGGAGTCTTACAGGAGATTCCAGGAAATGATGGCTAGAAGCATTTGAAGGTTTTTCTTAATTATTAGCTATTAATTTCCTTTTTTTTTTTTTTTGCTTTCCCAAGCTTTTGTATGTGACATACATTGGTGGGTGGTAAACATTGTGTAATCATTGAGACTGCAGGGTTTTTATGTTTAATCCTTGTAACTTCCCATCTCTTATTCTGTGTTTGGAGAATTTTAATTTACATGATAGATTGTGGGGTATTTTGTGCAATTCTTCTCTTAAATTTTGTGCAATCCTTGAATTGAACTTGTGGGAACTGCTCATTTTTCTTTCTCTTTGGGGGAAGGAACACTGTTGAAGAAAAAATAGGTGAATTTTTCCAGAAATGTATGCTCTCCTCTTTCTTTAGAGACAGCTGGTAGATGAATGTTCTATTCTATTAGCTCAGGTAGGAGAAATATACTAGCTATAGCTAGGTTTCAGGGCCATAAAAGTCTAACCAGTATAGTTTTTTTATTTATGATGGAAAGTTCCGTGTAGATGCAGATCCACTTTCATTAATATATCATTATGTTAATTTGGGATCAGTAAAGTAATCATTTGTCAAAGTTATCAAGTTGTTACACTTCTACCAATGTAATTGAGCCAAAATTTTCAATCCAAAAAAAATTTTTTTTGGCCAATTTGTGGAAGAAATCTGGACACCTTAAAAGTAATGATTTAACCAGATTACAGTCAGGTTATCCAATCCTCCAATTATTGAGTTCACCATTTTGTCACGGAAAGTGTACTAGATTCAAGTTTTCCTAGTCATGAAAATTAAACCAGGTTTTCTAACTACTATCTGATGCTGATTGCATAGATCATTAGCACATATCACTTTATGGACTTATAATAATACTTGAGGATCGTCATCTCAATATTTGTTCTAATCATTTTGTTGATTGATAAACGAAGTCTGCATAGAGCTAGCAAAGGTGAGTAAGTCAATCCTTAGCTCACTTCTTTGATGAATGTGATTCATTTGATGTTTAAATCAGATTGTTATAAAAACTTATAATATTGTTAAAGTTACAAAAAAGAAGAAAAAAAAAACAAAAAACAAAAATGCTTTCCAATCTGAAAGATCAAATTAGACACTACATCACATTTGAAATTGTACTAATTTTTTTTAATTTTGAATTAAGTTCAACTTACGAATGGTTCATGAACTACAATAAAATATTAATGTGATACATAAATTTTAAAAATCTTTAATATGATATTTGAATTATAAATTTGTTAACTAATGTAGTATTTATAATTTAAAATTAATCTCATTAAAAGTAAATATCTTATTAGTTAACAGATTTTTAATTTATACATCATATTAAAAATTTTTAAAATTTAAGTATCATATTAAATATTTCACTAAAATTTAGGGATCATTTGTAATTTTAAACTTCTAAATTTTATAAAAGATATTCTAGATTTTATATGAAGTTTTGAAGATTTGGAAGAAAATTGTTTTTAAAGATAGAAAAGTGAAAGTGATTGAGAAAGCTCTTTTCCCCTAAGAACAACACACCATTGTAGCCGATCTAGTCTTCCAGTGTAATTATGCCAGATAATGTTCCTTCTTGTAATTGCATTACACCTAATTTTTACAAAGTCACAGCAATTCCAGGATATTATTTCTTCAAACCAATAATATGCAGCCCCCAAAAGAAGGGAAAGGTAAAGGAAAACCTTTTGTTGAACCTACTCCAATTCCGAAAAAGGAGTGAAGATCTTGATGAATCTCATATGATTGAAGGCACATGTACATGGCCATGACATGAAGTTAGTGACATAAGGTACCAATTGACATGATCAAAGACTTAACATCCTCTGTACCTTAACTTCAATCAAAGTCATGAGAGAAATTCTTCATGGAAACTTTGAAATTTTGGATACAATTGAGACTGGGCCATTGAGAGGTATGTGACTTATATATAACGCCCGTGTTATATAACTAGATTGACTCTTTCCAGGGAGCAGAGAAGCAGACAGGCCAACAGAAGCTCAAGACCAGTCAAGCATGCTTTTGTGCAGAATTCTTCTTAGGACTGTAAAAAGACATAGGCAAGGCATCAACGATAGGTTCTTTTTATCTCTTGGTGTGTGTTTCTTTATTCCAAAACTTCCTTTGTTGCTTTTACATGTAAAATAGAAAGAGAAAGAAGGGGAAGGAAAGACCTTTAACAGAGTTATATGGGTTCCATTGGTCTATTTGTTTCCTAATGTTTGGACTGACTTTTTACATAGAAAAGTGGATGCTTAGTACTTGTTGGGATTTTATTCTTTGTTAGGACAAGTTAAGAGAAGTTATAGTTATCTACATGTACTACATGTCATGAACTCAAAACGCTATGTCCATGGTGTTGTGGCTTTAAATTTTCAAATCAAGGAATGAATTCTCTTTTCATACTTTTCCAAGACATCAGAAGTTCACACCTATCCACACAGATTAAATTGCCAACTATTTTGATCACCTATTGACAAAGTGTAGAATGTTTCCATCAGAACTTGAAATTTCAATTTGAAAATCCCCAATTTCATTTCTGGAAACAAAAAATTTGCCATGAAAAATTATTATATTTTATTGCATAATCTGAAATCATATGTAAAAAAAAAAAAAGAAGTTTAGAAGAGAGAACCGAAACTTGACACTAAGTTAACTAACAGTTCAATCAAGTTTGGGATATGTGAACAGCATTTATACTTTAAACATTTCCAAAAATTTGTATGCTTCCAGTTGCTAGGCTGCATTTGGATGTGCTGTGAGAGGGATTCCATTTAAGTGCAAGCAACTTTGAAAGGGGGAAGCTGAGAAACGGGGTAAATTTCACATTTGAAATTTTCTTTGGACATTTTAAAAACCCAATGCAGTAACGCTTTGTAGGATTTCAAGATGGCTACTATGTCTCCTCTCACGGAGACTGGGGCTGCCATCTTTTGAACCAGCATCCTTAACATATCTGTTGAATAATTAAGCGGTTGTTTGCTGTTTTTGTGTGCTTTATATTTTATATTTTTGAAAGTTTTATTTTGTTTTATTTTTAATTTATTGAATTTGAAAACATGTTTGAATAGAATGCTTTTATTTAAAAAATGTGAAAATAAAAATATGTAAGAGAAATTGATTAAAATTTTTAGGTTCCGTTTGTTATTAATAATATAATAATATTTATTAATAAATATAATATTATTTATTAATTATATATTAATTTTTAATATATTATAATATTGTTTTAATATTATTTATTAATATGTTAATAATATAATATTAATTATATAATAAATACAATAATATTTATATAATAAAATATTATTATTATTATTATTATTATTGTAGTATCACTGTAGAAGTTTAATTGTAATTTCTTTAAACAGTACCCATGTAGTAATAATGCCAAATTATTTTTAAAAAACTGAAAACATTATTTTTCTGTTTTCAATAATTTTTAAAATTTTTTAAAACTTTATTTTTAGTTTTCAAAAATAAAAAACAAAAACAAACTATCAAACATGTTTTTGTTTTTAATTTTCTTAAAAATTGAATATAAAAATAAAAAACAAAAACGTTACCGAATGATCCTTTAACTAATTACAGTAAGAAAAAAAAAACTTTTGCAGAGTAGTAAGAATTTATTAGAATGTCATTTGTTCTACCGGATCAGTAAGCTTTTCCTTTCTCTTCTTTCCTCGTATTCAAAATGGATTAAAACAACTTATTAGGATTTCATAAGTTCAAATCTCCAAATAAAAAAATAAATAAATAATCAAAAAATTTGTTTAAAAAAAAAAAGAAAATGAACTTTTAGTATTGATCATGAAAATAAATGTAGCGAAGGTCTTTAAACTTGACTTATCGTCAATGAGATTATTTTGTTGATCAATAAGAATATTTTTATTGGAATCCGGGTTAGTTTATAAACATCTGTACAAGATCAAATCATCTTATATATTTAAATAAATCAAATTTTATTAAGCACCAATCATTCAAATTGTTGAGTTTTTTTTTAAGTATTTTATGGTTATAAGAGTATAATTATTTTTTTATAATAAGAGAATAACTTACAATTGGTTTAAAATTATTTTGGTTATTTGAGCTAATCTAACGTGACATATTGAGCTGACATAACAAACTTTTGGAGAAGAAGAAAGACAAATATTATCCCCCATTCCATTTGATTTACATTGCTAAGCTGTGCCATTAAAACCAACTTGGAACAGTTTTTATATATTTTATAGATTATAGATATTAGATGTATGCCGCTGTTAATGTACTATCTTATATTATATATATATATATATATATATGCGCTACCTTTTGGGTTGTAAAGGCTAGGTTGATCTACCTGGATAACCAATCCGACGACATACAAGCTGACGATCCAACGTGCATTTCTTCACTTTCCATCTAATTCTTGGGTCTGGGGGGCTCATATTTTCTCATAAAAAGACAGAAAGTCAGTCATGGTTCAGTCTTGAATGAGCCCCATCTACATTCATCGTCAGTTTCTAAAACTATGACCAAACATTGAGACAACATGGGTAAAGCCTAGGCTTGAATTAATTAAAATTATGGAGAATCTGGTTTCATGAATTTGGTAGCCCCTGCTAATCATATGCACAGGGAAAAAAGAATACTACTACTTCTCATCTGGTTCACTATTGAGTAAATATAGCAAATGTCTGGGGCCCTTGGCTCCAAAATTTTGGTTCAGTGTTAAGTTTTTCATGCCTCATAAAGAAGGAACAGCCAGCTTAAAATTTGGAAGTCAATCAAGATGTGTGTAGTTTTGAATGACATGTTCAAGGATTATTAATTTTAATTTTCTGCGTTTATTTTCAGGACTGTTTCATCACTCATGTAATTTTTTAGTACATCTGAATCTGATAGGTGTTTTTTTGGCTATATCTAATAAGCAAATTTTGTTAGTTAGAGATCCACCAAAAGAAAACATGGTCAAAGGGATACGAGCACTGCATTACAGAGAAACTCCCTCCTTCTAAGAGACGGTGCTCGGTTACTAACCAGAATTGTGACACTGAACCCAAAATAAATCTATTGACTTTGCACTTGATTTTCA